CATGGTTGTAAACGTAAACAATGTGTAGAGCTTTAGATGCATGCAAGCTTACAGACATACAGCCATGCATTCACATATATGCACGCCATACTATGCGAATGCGTGCGTGAGTACATGGAAGTCAGCAGGAACCAAAAGTTCACCATTCCGCAGCGAAGACCATTGCATGGGAGAACCTGTGAGCAGTAGGTTGCCTGGCGCTGATGCCTTAGTTTGCGTCAACAGAGGCTGACAATGTACGGGCGCATCACACCGCAATTGTTGTTCGCTCCTGTTGGCAACTCAGGCCTGATGAGCTTTGCAAGCCTTGCAAGCACAGATGCTGCGCTTGGGCGTCTAAGGCTGCAGCTGAAGTTGCGACTTTTTTGCTTCCTTGTCTCTACTCGGTTGGAGCAAGGAGTTCAGCTGTCTTCTTTGGTTGTGAATGAATTGAATGCTAATCATGACTGGCTAGCCCAGGTACAGCAGAAAACTGATCCACGTGACGACTAACTCCATCAGCGGCGAGTCCTGGACGGTGTTCAAAGGTCGGAGGCTAAGCGCCCTTCTCCTGGAGCGCGATCATATATGCCGCGCCCCTTCTAGCAGAGGATCCATGTCCATTCGGAAAGCCATCATGAAACACTTCAACGACGAGAAGGCAGGCGGTTGAATGTAGAAAGGCTCGCTTCCGATGAAGACGCATCAGAACTCGATATATGCAACATATGCTCAGGCAGCGACGCCGTCGTGGATGAAGTAGCAGGACAATCTGTCAAGTTTCACTGGGAACCAAGCGGGGTTCCTCGTCACCTGCGATATCTATTATGGCAATAATAGCGGCGCAAAAAGGCAGGTTAGGGTCTGTCAGGTTTGCACGCAAGTCCATCACTCGTGATTTGCAGCCGCAAAAGCCCCCCTTCGCGCCAAAGCAAGTTGAAATCCCCTATAGATCTTACTGCCCTCCGCTGTCCAGCTATGCCGGCCAAGCGCATCAGCCTCACAGATGCGGACGCCAAAGGCGGTTTCACAAAGAAAGTCCGTGCGGAGCATTGTATGTATGTATGTATGTATGTATGTATGTATGTATGTATGTATGTGTGTGTGTATGTATGTATGTATCTATGTATGTATGAAAGTAATGTATGTATGTAAGTAAGTAAGTAAGTAATGTATGTATGTATGTATGTATGTAAGTAAGTAAGTAAGTAAGTAAGTAATGTATGTATGTATGTATGTATGTAATGTAATGTAATGTGATGTGATGTAATGTAATGTAATGTAATGTATGTATGTATGTATGTATTTATGTATGTATGTATGTATGTATGTATGTATGTATGTATGTATGTATGTAATGTATGTAATGTATGTAATGTATGTAATGTATGTAATGTATGTAATGTATGTATGTATGTAATGTATGTAATGTATGTAATGTATGTAATGTATGTAATGTATGTAATGTATGTAATGTATGTAATGTATGTATGTATGTATGCATGCATGCATGTATGTATGTATGTATGTAATGTAATGTAATGTTTTGCAATGTAATGTAATGTAATGGAATGTAATGAAACGTAATGTAATATAATGTAATGTAATGTATGTATGTATGAAATGTATGTAATGTATGTAATGTATGTAATGTATGTAATGTATGTATGTATGTAATGTATGTAATGTATGTAATGCAATGTAATGTATGTAATGTATGTAATTTGTATGTATGTAATGTATGTAATGTATGTAATGTATGTAATGTATGTAATGTATGTAATGTATGTAATGTATGTAATGTATGTATGTAATGTAATGTAATGTATTGTAATGTAATGTAATGTAGTTAATGTATGTTATGTTATGTTTTGTTATGTAATGTAATGTAATGTAATGTATGTAATGTATGTAATGTAATATTATGTTATGTTATGTTATGCTAATGTATGTAATGTAATGTAATGTAGTGTAATGTAATGTAATGTAATGTAATGTTATGTATGTAGTGTATGTAATGTATGTAATGTATGTAATGTATGGAATGTATGTAATATATGTTATGTATGTAATGTATGTAATGTATGTAATGTATGTATGTATGCAATGTATGTAATGTATGTAATGTATGTAATGTATGTAATATATGTTATGTATGTAATGTATGTAATGTATGTAATGTATGTAATGTATGTAATGTATGTAATGTATGTAATGTATGCATGCATGCATGCATGCATGCATGTATGTATGTATGTATGTATGCATGCATGCATGTATGTATGTATGTATGTATGCATGCATGTGTGTATGTATGTAAGTAATGTAATGTAACGTAATGTAATGTAATTATGTATACGTATTGGCTAAATTTACGCTGTAGTCAAAACAGAGGAATTGATTCTCCCGGTAGCGCGTCCCGGAAATTTTGACGAGCATCCAGTGCCACGGCAAAGAAACTGGCACAATTTCTTTGGGTCCAAAGGTCACCAACTTATGAAGTTAGACAACTTCCCAACTCCGTCGTTCACTATTCCTTTCTGCCTGGATTCACGAAAGCCGGAGCCATCCGGCATTTTCCCCAACAGCAAAACTTTGCTATGGGGTCTTTAGCCCAGATTAGCTCTGGTGCGATCCGGTGCAGCTTCAACACCAGGTTCCGGACAAGGTTCCGGAGGGTTCTGGTGCAGATACCTCGTGAGGTTCCGGAGGGTTCCGGTGCAGATACCTCGTGAGGTTCCGGAGGGTCTAGGTGAAGATACCGGAGGGTTCTGTGCGGTTCCGGAGGGTTCCGTTGCAGATACCTGGTGAAGCTCCGAGAGTTTCCGGTGCAGGTGCTTGGTGAGGTTCCGGAGGGTTACGGTGCAGATACTTGGTTAGGTCTAGAGGGTTTTGGTGCAGGTACCTGGTGAGGTTCCGGAAGTTTCCGGTGCAGCTACCTGATGAGGTTCCGGAGGGTCTAGGTGAAGATGCGTGGTGGGGTTCCGGAGGGTTCGGGGCAGATACCTTGTGAGGTTCCGGAAGGTTCCGGTGCAAAGATCTTGTGAGGCTCCGGAGGGTTCTGGTGCAGATGCTTTGTGACATTCCAAAGGGTTCCGATGTTTTCTATGGCATAAACATTTTATTTTAATGGCATAAACGCTTAATTTTTATTGCATAAACACTTTTCATGGCAGAAACGCAGAAGCTTTCAAACTGTTGGGGATAGCACCTGAGTTTATTTTTTTGCCATGGAATCCATTGATGATGAATCAAAATCCTATTTAAAATATGTTAAGATATGTTAAGATATGTTGAGGATGGGAGGATTTTCCAGTTCTTTCCATGTTAAAATACCAAAGGCTCGGGGGTTCCCCCAGATAGCCCAAGACCCAAGACGTCATGGATCTTCGTGGCTTAGGATTCGAAGGTATTGAATTGGAGGATCTGGAGTGACTGGCGGCATGGCGGTGGCGCCACGGATTTAGCTTCATTAGTAATGGTGAATATTAAGATATATTGAGTGATTAGCCCTCAAATTCATTGGCACTAATTAGCAAAACTCAACATATTTGGCAAATATTCCGAAAGTAGGCTAAACATTTTGACAGTAATTGGGGTGTTAATCAACAACCAAGGGGTTAGGCCGCAGAAATGTGCGAGTGTCCCATGATATCCTACAATTGATTGGTCCTCGAGTTTCTGTCATTGACAACATTTCTGGTATTGGCAGTGTGTGGCGCTGTTTCCGGAATGCTTTTGAAAGTGATCACCGTTTGGAGGGTTTGATGTGAATTTTCAAATTTGAGCTATAGCCTGTCGGCAATACCCCACTCAGGGACAACAGTCCGTGCAGACAGGCGAAATTGCAGAGTCTCCCTCTGACAGAGGACATACAAAAAAGAGATATACTACCTTCCTTGTCATGAAGTGACCATGAGTGTTATAGACAATTAGACTTAACTTAACAACTCCAAAAATTGATGAGGTAGGTGGCCATTATCGACTTGGCGGGCACCAATGAACGTGCCGTGCCATTCCCCGGTGCCGCGATAGGCAGCTTTGTGGCTGCGCTAAACTTTTAGTCGTGGTACAGAGCCCGTACAAACTGCAGAACTAGATGAAGGGCAAAACAAAGCCGACAACGATGCCTGTGTAAACCTTGGTTTGGTGCGTTCATGGTTTGATTTTCAGTGTAAAATGTTGAAATGGTAGTACGGATTAATGTTGTAGTGAGTAGTGTTGGTAAATCACCATAAATTGGTCCTATAAGCCATCAACATATGGGTGGTTTATTATTGCTTTACGAACATGATGTTGAATTGATTGCCGTTTTTTTCTTGAAGGTAACTGCATCTAAGATTGGCCATGGTCCACCTTCAAGAACCCTATCAGCTGTTGAGAATCCAGCAGAAAACGTAATAGGTTTGATGCGTCTCATGGAAACGGTCCGGAGAATATGAGAAGATGCTAGGTTAGGCTTGCACTTCAATTGCTTTACTTCGAGTGATCCCCACCCTGACACTATTCTGACATAGTTTCTGACATGCCATTTGGAAGTATATCAGTATATCATATAAATTCTGACATGCTTATCTGACATTCTTTCGGGTCCAGGCGTGCCCAGCATCTTGATCTAGAGACCTTCACCTGGGGGAAAAATTGAAAATTCAGGGAGCGGTTCCCGTTTTGATGATTTCTTCATGGCAAACTGTTGATTTCTTGGTGTGAAAACCCCTTGACAATCATCGACAGTCGGCCTTGGCTGTCCCACGTACTTGCAGCTTCCGATGGGTTCTTGTTTCCTTGCATTTACAGTAGTTGTACAATGTTGTACATACGCTGTGTATATATTATGTGTGTAGTATTAACACGTATGTAATGACATATATGATATATGATATATATATATATATGTAAATATATATGTATATATATACACATACACATCATTGTATCAACATACATATTCCTCATAAGACACACACACATGATACACAGAGAAACAGCCTTCGTCCCAGCTGTATGGCAACGCTGGTCAGGTCAGAACCATGGTGCTCAAAACATGTATGGTGTGGCCGGCTGGGCACCGTGCGGTGCCCGGCCTCATGGTGAGTTGATGATGATGATGATGATTGTTATTATTATTGTCATTGTGTATATATATAATTATATATATATGAATACCATTATTTGATGATTCGTGGCAAACAGTGAATCTGCGTAATTCTTTGGTAATTCTGTGGATGTAGATAAATGTGAAGTACCGTTGTGATATCGAAAGGTGACCGAATTTGTTGTTGAATTTTGTTCCACTCTCTGTGAGTTTCCGGTACTTTCCACAAAATGCTTGCCACTCCACAACCATGTCCACAACAATGTGGTATACTTAGGTGTGGTATTCTGTTACCATGGAGAAAGATTTGATTCTACGTACATCCAGGTGAGAATCCCAGAAATGCTACCCTCTGGTAAACTAACATAGCTATAGAAAATCACCATTTTGAATAGGTCAATCAATTATAAATGGGGTATTTTCAATAGCTATGTTAGTCATTACCAGAGGCTAATCCCATATATCAAAACATATCAAGATGAATCCCATAAATCCAGAGGTTTCCGGGGGGTCATGGGGGTAATCCAAAGTGCTTGGTTTCAAACATGGCTGGATTATGACTTCCATTTCAGAAATTAATGGGATGTCATCCCAACCCCATTGTGACTCATTGACGAACGAACTCTTTCATATTTTTCAAGATGGTGATTAAAACCACCAACCAGATCATTAACCATTACTAACCATTATTAACCATGGAAATCCCTATGGAAATCCCTATGGACATCCTTATGGACATCCCTATGGAAATCCCTATGGAAATCCCTACGGAAATCCCTGATATCCAGCCAGCCCATCTTCCCCGACCCGAGGCCCAGCTCCCGGCCGTATGGCTACGGTGTGCCAGGGATGAGTCCTCAGGTGAGAAATCCAGAACGCTAATGATGCCAGAAATGACGGTTAATGATCATCCATTATCATCCATTAATAACCATGGCTAGTAGCCATGAATGGTTAATAATGGTTAATAAATGATGGTAAATGATGGTTAATGAGGAACTCATGTATATCTTTAGGGAATACTGAAAGTGAAGTCGAAACTTATCAGATTTGAATCGTATCAGTTTGCTGTTGAAAATGAACCCAGATAGAATGTACTATTGCATAATATTGTATCCATTGTTCCTTAGGGATATTGACCATTGTTTACCATCATGAACCACCATTAATTTTCACGAAAGATTCAAAACTATCTTAACTATTCTTAACTATTATCTGAGCTGTAGTTGGCTATGATTATTTTAACGGTTAATGATCATCCATTATCATCCATTAATATCATCTAAAATTAACCAAAGAATTTCTTTCATTTTGCTTATCCCAACGCCATGGCGATGGCTCGCTTTCGAATGCTAGGCGTATCTAGCAACGAATGCCAGGCGGGGGTGGAAAGACAGGCTGCCATAAACCTACCATGACTTGGGGTGTGATTGTGCACATTCTCCGTATAGATGTATTGGAGTTCGATGTCAACATGTCTCTCTCCCTCTCTCGCTATCTATCTATCGATCTATCTATCTATTTATCTATCTATCTATTTATCTATCTATCTATCTATCTATTTATCTATCTATCTATCGATCGATCGATCTATCTCTCTATCTATCTATCGATCTATCTATCTATTTATCTATCTATCTATCTATCTATCGATCGATCTATCTCTCTATCTATCTATCGATCTATCGATCTATCTATCTATCTATCTATCTATCGATCTATCGATCTATCGATCTATCGATCTATCGATCTATCGATCTATCGATCTATCGATCTATCGATCTATCGATCGATCTATCTATCTATCGATCTATCGATCTATCGATCTATCGATCTATCGATCTATCGATCTATCGATCTATCGATCTATCGATCTATCTATCGATCTATCGATCTATCGATCTATCGATCTATCGATCTATCGATCTATCTATCTATCTATCTATCTATCTATCTAATCTTATCTATCTATCTATCTATCTATCTAGCTATCTATCTATCTATCTATCTATCTATCTATCTATCTATCTATCTATCTATATCTCTCTCTCTATTATACATGTGATGCGCGCAAAAGCGAGTACATATCGGGTGCATACCCATATGATAGATTCAGGCCACCAAAAAGGGCACGGGCATTTGTCCATACAGTGTTGAGCCATCTATGGATGACTCTAGTATTTGCTGTTTAGTGGTTGGGGTATATTCATTGATATCCCAACGAATATGGTAAACTCATGTAAACTCAAGACTATAAAACCTTCAGTTAGGCGGCACCGTTTATACGATCGCTGGAAAATTGGGGATAGAATACAGGGCTGCTGTATACTGTATTGGCAGGTATCCAGTGAAGTCCAATTTCCAAACAACAGCAGCTCACCTTTTAGGGGTTGTAGTCAAACGGTCTACGAATTTTAAAGCATGTGGGTCACTGACATCATTCGCAAGTGGGATGGTCATTCAAATCATCCCCATTTTTTTAATCACCATTTTTTATAGGTACTGTATGGTTACCATTCCCAGGTTACCTTGGGTGGTAAAAATGACATTGTGAAACACAGTTTCATCCATATTAACCATCATTAAACTAGGAGTAACCATCATTAACCATCATTAACAATCATTAACAATCACTAACCATCATTAACCATTAATGGTTACTAACCATGGCTATTAATGGATAATGGATGATCACCCTCGTCATCATTTAAGGATTTCGGAGTCACGGAACGGGGCGCCTCGTTGCCGCAGCAGGCCTGTGATGCCGGTTTCGACCGCCTTCATGGGCACCTGTTGGGGGTCTCAGAAAAATCTTGGGATATGGTGGGATGATACGGATGTAACGGCCTAACAAATCATGGGGTCAATGGGCAGATCTATCTGGAGAAGAATACTTCGATGTTCTTGGAATATCTAGCTCAAGAACATTCATGATGGTTAGTAAAAGTATGTAAAAGTAGATAATTGATGAATACCTTAAAGATCATCGAAAATCGCCTTGTGAGGCTATCAGTGTCATTTTTTCAGCTATCAGATGGAATTCCTGAACAACTTATTGGCGCAGGTATGTCGCTTCGTGTTGTTTCATGGTGGCCTGGGGGTTGGATCGCCACGCCTTTCCGTGGTGTTTTGACGCATGATATGATACGGCTTGAATCCAAAGTTGGTTCAACAATTTCCAGATCGAGAAGCGAGAACTGTGTCGGAATATAGCTGGTTGGTGGTTTTGAACAGTTGTTATTTTTCCCATCATATTGGGAATGTCATCATCCCAACTGACGAACTCCATCATTTTTTTGAGGGGTAGGTCAACCACTTGGGAATCGAATAGAATCCCTGGGAACCGCTGTGATTCCAGGATTTCAAGGGATTTCGAGATTGGACTGGAAAGCCCCCAGCTGAAAGATGGTAAAACAACGGTGATTTCCCAAGATTCCAGCTGAATCTTGTAAATGTGCTTGGTTTCTCAACGAGAAAATCCATGAAAATCCCATATAACCATATATACAGTGTGGTTTCGGTTCGGTTCGGTTTTGGTTTCTAGTATTTGCTATAGGCCCGGTTCGCTTAATGTTCGGTTTCGGGTCCTGCGGTTCCTGGTCGATTTCGGTTCGGTTCGGTTCGGTGCTTGGAACATTCTGCATTGATATTTGCTTTTTTTTTGGCGTCGGAAAAGCGAATACAGATTGCTTCCTGCAAGAGGTTTATTGCTTCCCGCAAGAGGTTTCATGAGCAGTGGCTTTCAAAGAGCGGAGAGAGCTGAACTCGGAAAACCAAAGCTTCCTGAAATTGTCAGTGCATGCAATTTATTATGAAGAAACCCATATTTGCTTTTTTCATTGAACTCAAAATTGCAACTTTTCCAATCAGTTTATTGGGGGAGGGTAAGACGGTTCCGGTTCCTCCGGTTCGGTTTTGCACAGGGTTCCAGCGGTTCACGGTTCCTAACGGTTCATAGGCTATTTAAGATTTTCTACGGGGGTCGGTTCCAGAACCTTACTGCATATATAACATGATATAACCCCCCATTTTTTATCCCATCATATTCCAATCCCAATCCCGAAAAATGGTCCCGTTGAACGTCACATCATCCCAAGATCCAAAAAAAACCGCCTGGACGGGATGTCAGGTCCTGGACCCGGTAAGGCATGGCGGCGCCTGGGAACTTTGATGCAGAGATGACCAAGCCTAACATTGTTAACATCGATTGACATTGCATGAATATGTGTAAATTATATATTTATATATATATATGCAGGTTTGATTATCATGTACATGTAGAATGGGATTGATTATATTGCGTCATATGTATGTAGAACAATAATGATTAATTTTGTAGAGTTATGTAAATATGTAGGTGTATATATATATACACATAATATTCACGCATACTTCGCTGGTATTTATCCTGTTTATTTGGGCACCAGGTTTAGCCTCAACCAGGGATTGGATTCGTTAAAGGGAACAAGGAGGTGCTCATTAGCTCAGATTGTCTGAAAATAAGACCCCAAATCTATTGCTTCATCATTATGAACATTAAAATGGTCATTTTGGCGGCATCCCCATTTTCAGACAAACCTCAATGGCTTGAAATTATGGTAGATATATCATCATCATATGGAGGTTTCCTGACATGAGAGTACTCCCAAATCGGCTTCAGACTCACTTACACCCGACAGAATCGCATCACTTACATCACCAGCAATCACTTACTACCAGCAAATTCGACTCACTTACACCACCACTCCTGTTCTAGGGAATGAGACAACTTCGGGGTACCACACCTTTAGGGTTTCTTTGCTTCATAGAGGAAGTACACAGGTACGACACCTTTAGAGTTTCTTTTGCTTCACACAGGAAGCACACAGCTACGACCCCTTTTAAGGTTTCTTTGCTTCACACAGAAAGAACATAGGTACGACACCTTTCGGGTTTCTTTGCCTCACACAGGAAGTACACAGGTAGGATACATTTAGGGTTTCTTTTCCTCACACGGGAAGCACACAGGTAAGACCCCTTTAGGCTTTTTTTGCTGCACACCGGAAAAACGCAGGTACGACACCTTTAGGGTTTCTTTGCTTCACACAGGAAGTACACAGGTACGACCACTTTAGGGTTTCTTTGCTTCACACAGCAAGTACACAGGTACGACACCTTTAGAGTTTCTTTTGCTTCACACAGGAAGCACACAGCTACGACCCCTTTTAAGGTTTCTTTGCTTCACACAGAAAGAACATAGGTACGACACCTTTAGGGTTTCTTTGCCTCACACAGGAAGTACACAGGTAGGATACATTTAGGGTTTCTTTTCCTCACACAGGAAGCACACAGGTACGACCCCTTTAGGCTTTTTTTGCTGCACACCGGAAAAACGCAGGTACGACACCTTTAGGTTTTCTTTGCTTCACACAGGAAACACACAGGTACGACACCTTTAGGGTTTCTTTGCTTTACACAGGAAGTACATAGGTATGACACCTTTATGTTATTTTTGCTTAACGCAGGAAGTACACAGGTACGACACCTTGTTTCTTTTCCTCACACACGAGGCACACAGGTACGACCCCTTTAGGTTTTCTTTGCCTCACACAGGAAGTACACAGGTACGACCACTTTAGGTTGTCTTTGCTTCACACAGGAAGTACACAGGTACGTTACCTTTAGGGTTTCTATGCTTCACACAGGAAGTACACAGGTACGACACCTTTAGGTTTTTTTTGCTTAACGCAGGAACTACACAGGTATGACACCTTTAGGGTTTCTTTGCTTCACAGGAAGTACACAGGTACGACACCTTTAGGGTTTCTTTGCTTAACGCAGGAAGTACACAGGTACGACACCTTTAGGGTTTCTCTTCCTCAGACAGGAGGCACACAGGTACGACCCCTTTAGGTTTTATTTGCCTCACACAGGAAGCACACTGGTACGACCACTTTAGGTTTTCTTTGCTTCACACAGGAAATACACAGGTACGACACCTTTAGGGTTTCTTTTCCTCACACAGGAGGCTCACAGGTACGACCCCTTTAGATTTTATTTGCCTCACACAGGAAGTACACAGGTACGACCACTTTAGTTTTTTTTGGCTTGACACAAGAAATACACAGGTACGACCACTTTAGGTTTTCTTTGCTAGACACCGGAAATACACAGGTACGACACCTTTAGGGTTTCTTTGCTTCACACAGGAGGCACACAGGTAAAGTACACAGGTACGACCACTTTAGGTTTTCTTGGCTTGACAAGAAATACACAGGTACGACCACTCTAGGTTTTCTTTGCTAGACACCGGAAATACACAGGTACGACACCTTTAGGGTTTCTTTGCTTCACACAGGAAACACACAGGTACGACACCTTTGGGGTTGCAATTAATTTGTTTTCCTCAGGTACTGCTAGCCACGAGCTTTACTGCCTTTACTAAGTAACTACATTGCCCGACATTGCACATGTACAAAGAAACAACCATTACTATTTTCCTTTTGTGCTTTGACGTCCACTCTGCGTCATTTACATCACAATGGCTTGTGGATGAGCACGCTGCCATGACTTAGTCATGCGTATCAGGATGAGGACGGTGATGAACATGATGATGGTATGATATGCTGAATGTTTCGCAAATTGATCTGAATGATGCTGATGATGAAGAAGGAAAAGACGTGAACGTGATGATTTTGATGATGATGATGAAAATTGTTATTAGTACTATTGTTCTATATTGTTCTTATGATTGTCATGATGGCATTGGCAATAGTGACTTGGAACATGATCACTACACGTGATTATGACCCAAAGCCATGATAGCAGTGTAAACGATACAAATCGCGCGGTTGTAAGCGATGCAATTTTGGCGGTTGTAAGCGATACCGCGACCGCCCAAATCATCTATTATCGGTTTTCTCATGTTTTCTCCATCAAAAAAACATCCAGCTATTGGGGTAGCCTTTTTTTTAGGAAACCTTCATATGTCTATACTTCAGGCTGGTTATAATTCGCACCAGGCGATGCCTGCACCTCAGATGCCCGGCTGGCAAAGGCGCAGCATTGATCATTTTTCTCCACCGAAGAGTGTCCAATTTGCTCATTGGAATGGGATCAACTTACCTTTGAAATACCCTCTGGTTATTTAACATAACCATGGAAAATGGCCCATTTATAGATGATTTTCCCATTAAAACCTCCATTTATAAGGGATTTTCCATGGCTATGTTAAATAACCAGAGGGTACATTGAAATACCCTATTTTTCTGGGATGAACATCACCTGGATGCAGAGAATGTTGATCTTGTTTGATGTGAACTACAGGCTGCCAGGGGTTTGACACCCATGTAAAAATCCAAACACATAGGTTAAAACGTTGGCCGGAAATCATGCGGTAAATATAATCTACCCTGGACGAAAACATCTTTTTGAAGACCCTATACAGTAGTTATACAGCTATTTGTATCGGAACGACTCTGTATTCTCTACAGATATGACTTTATGAAGGGATATCTGAGATTAGCTACGCCCAACAGCTTGGTGCCGAGTTTCAACCAGAGAAGCAATTTTTGGGAACTCTCCAAATTTGCCAAAAATCATCGGGACTACCCCCAAATGACCTCGTGTTGGCAGAGAAATTTCATGGCAGGTGAGCCGGCAATGCAGTTGCCAGAGAGGCAAAGGCGAGGGTACAAAGTCAATGTTCCGAAGAATAGGAGAATAAGGAGATAATAACCATCCATCACCATCCTGGTGAATTATTTCACCGGTACAAATCATGAATTTTACCTGCAACATTCATGATAAGAGATACGGGATTTCACTCAGTTTTACCTCATTTTGCTGGAAAAGCCACAGAGGAAACAAACGATGAGGGTAACCACCAAATTCCACCTGTCCGATCTGCAAATCGAATGTGTGCCCTGTACACAGATAAAGGAATACCGTCGATACAGATATAAATCTATATACATATGAAATCATATAAACATAAAAATGTATAGTGCATATATATATACACATATATATATAGTGCATATAATGTATATAATATATATATACACACCATGTGTATATAAATATATATATACACCATGTATATATATATACACTATATATACACTATATATATATAGTCCACATCCATGTTGTTGTAGACACTCTTGGAGTTCCTATTCTTGCGAACGCCACCGAGGCAGCGGAGTTGACGAGCCGCACCGCAACGCGCAAGGCGTAGCGCGCAACGCGCAACGCATTGGCGGGAAAAAGTGGCGGATTTCCGGTGGGTTTCACCGGTTTAACCAAGAGAAACCAAGATGTAAGGGTGATTTCATGGGAATTTAATAGGATTTAATGGTGATTAAATTAATGATGATTTTTCCATGGAATTTAATGAGGATTTTCAGAATTTCATGAGGAAAGCAAAGAGTTTGTACAATGTTGTTAGTTGTTCGTAAAATTTGGACCTGGTAGACTGCCTGGACTTGTTGCGCTCGAGGATTAGAGCCTTCGCATGTCTTTCGCCATGGCTCCGTGGAAAATGTGGTTTGTTTTGAACCGCGAGATTCCAGGGTTCAGACAATCAAACTAGGCAATGAACGGCTTGGTGCCTGGTAAAAACATTCAAACTGTCAAGAAAACTTCTGTTGCAATGCAGAGGCATATACTTATACTTGTAGAACATAGTGGCATAGCTTTTTCCTCACTGAAAGATACTGTAAGAAATTACAATATATCAACATCACATATATATATTATATAGTAATAATAATAGTAATAATAATAATTAATGATGATAATAATAATTATAATATATAATATATAATATATAATAATATATAATAATAATAATAACAATAATAATAATATAATATAATAATAACAATAATAATAACAATAATAATAACAATAATAATAATGATGATGATAATAGTAACAATAATAATAATGACCATGATCATAATAACAATGATAATACTAATAATAACAATAGTACCAATCATAATTATATTCATATAATATAGTTCATGAGATCCATTGCCGTGCTCCTTCCAAATCAGCGGCAAGGAATGTACAGTGACTCACGACCTGCGACATCGATTCGACAAATGTCAGGTTGGTGGTATGACAGGTATGAATTCTTCTATTGTTCATCCTTGTGAATGGGAATGTGATGTGATATATATATATATATAGTAATAATAATGATGATGATGATGATAGCAATAATAATGATATATAATAATAATGATAGTAATAATAATGATAATAATAATAATGATAACAATAATAATAATGATATATTATGATACGTTTTACACGGAAAAAACTGAATCTGTTCTCAGGGTTGAACCGATGAAAACGCCCCGGCCAGATGTCTGGATGCGCTGAGTTCTCGGAGCTTTTAAGGCTCAAGGCCATCCCAACTCGGGCGCTCGGAGCCCGAGCGCAGTTTTGCGAGGCCAAACTGCGCTGTTGGGTCATGTGGGATTCACCCTAACCATAAACCCGGACGGGGGATGGTTAGAATCCATAAAAATGCTGAGGGCAGCAGAAATGTCCATTTCTACTTGGGGAAAATCATTGACCAGGTGAGCAGGTTTAGTCGCATTTTTTCGGATCAACCCAAGCACCACAAACAGAAAAAGGTATAACAAACATTAGTTTGTGAATCTCTGATGATCTAAATTTGATTTGATCCCGGATTTTTTTTGGTGGGAGGAACCAAACAAAAACATACAAATACATTTGGGGATGTGGGTCAAAATTTAAAGGTCTAGGCGACCACAGGTTTTGGCAATTGTTACTATTGAACCATGTAAATTTTAGTTTTGAACATGGTTAGGCATCAGGTTACGCATCATGTTGCCCCTCTAGTTACTTAATGTTAAATGGATAAATTGGCAGTTTTACATAGCAAATTCTTCAACCACCAGAGGGGACATCTTCAACCACCAGCATGGCGGTCACGACACCTGGCACCCGTGCGCGGTGCAGGTAGCGATGCTCTCAACCCTGAGACAAGCAGCGGTCCGGAGCCCGGCTTTGGTCGTAGGGATCCTGGAGATTGAACTTAACCATCAAAGAATTGGGATTTTATGATGTACCCGGCCTGGTAAACTAACAAAAAGCTATTGAAAATGGCCATAGAAATAGTTGATTGAACCATCAAAAATGGTGATTTTCCATAGACATGTTTACCAGAGGGTAACATTGTGTAGCTAGCAAATTTTGACAACTTGATAGCATTTGACCATCAATGGGATTTATAAACAGATTTGGGAAAAATCTTATTTCGCCTTGAATTTTCATCCACGCATTCTTGATTCACATCAGTGTGACAGGTTGTCCTGGCAAGGTTGCTCTGGAACGTCCTCCATTTATAGATAGTTTGCCTTTAAGAATGGTGATTTTCCATAGCAAGCCCGTTAAATTACCAGAGGGTATCAGAAGACAATAACCAGATGATATATGTTGCCATCATATAGATTTGAATCCTGTCATTTTTTGGGGATATGTAGTCGAAAACAGACTCCTGATCTCTGGAACGAAGATGGAGAACTCCTGTTGCAACTGGGGATTTGTTGAGAATCCCGTATGATCAGGCTCATTTCGGTAAATTAACACCGTGTTATATCACCATTTGTATCACCAGATCAAACAACATAAGCTGATTTAGGACCCGTGTATAAAAACGGAATACAAGAGTATACCCTCTGGCAAACTAACATAGCTATGGAAAATCACCATGTGAATAGGCAAATCAACTATAAAAGGTATTTTCAATAATTGAATCAACTATATTGATTAACTATACCCCTGATATCTCCTGATATTGATTTAGTTGATTATCAATAGCACCTGTTAGTCATTACCAGAGGATATCAACTCATCGCTTTCCAAATCGCCATATTTTCCTTGGTGAATCCCAAGGTGCGACCGCTGGGCGCCAGATGTTTCGCAGCGGCCAAGGTGTGCCGAATGTCGGGAGGATCGGAGGGGTTTATAAATGGAATATAATGATGGGAATGTCATAGGCATCATAGGCATTCAATGAGGATATAGTGGGATATATAAGCTACTCGAGGTTATTTATCATAGTTGATATATAGTTGATTAATAGTGATGGGGATGTAATGGGGATATATAAGGTGATTTAGTGGTGATGAATGGTGATGAACGGTGTTCTATGGATTTTCATGGCATTCATGGTGATTTAATGGGATATTGATGGGATATAATGGGATACCAAACTGTAAAAACTCCTGCAGTAAAACCATGTAGTGTATATATCATCGATCTACTCTGTAGCGTTGGTTCAAAAGTGCTAGCAGCTTAGCGGATTTTACCCCATTGTCGGTTGACCTGGTAAAATACAGGTTATCAGCCGTAGTCTCACTACTTTGCTATGGGGACCCCAATTGACCATCCTCTCGCCGTTCCAGGGTCAGGTCCATCGGCTGTCGCTGTGCCCAATGTGGCCGGGGGCAACCCCGAGCCGATGGATGACGAAACAATGTTCCAACCCGTTGTCGCGTACTTTACCTTCATACAAAACAACCTGTCCCAGATTACTAGTGGGAATACCCTGCAAGTCATGAGGGAAGCTGAACAGAGGCACCTTCAGATAATGCATGGAGTAGTTGACTCAATTCGAAACGAATGGTCAAGTAGACTCGTAATGCAGGAGCAGGAGTATGAGCAAAGGCTGCAGGAGATTGAAGGTAAGGCCATTAGTGCCGTCAACGAGGAGAGGAAACGAGGCGATGAGATGGAGGTCAGGTTGAATCAGGCTCAGGCATCGAATGACAAAAGAATAGAGGATGTAAAGGCAGAGGCAAACACAAAGCATGATCAGAAAATTGCAGAGGAAAGGCAACGTATCACTAGTGAATTCGAAGCTTCCTATGCACAGACAGTTGAACATGCAAAGAACGCCATAGCTGCCACAAAGAAGCAATATGAAGATCAGGCTGCAATTGATCAGGCCAGGTTCATCAGTTTGAGGACCGAGTTCGAGAACTACAAGAAGGAGATGGCCGACAAGATCAATGAGGCAGCGGCTCAGAACCTTAGCCTTCAGGACCAAATCGATGACCTTCAGGAGCAGTTAAAGCATGTTGCCAAAGCGCAGCATGCCTCCGTTCCGAGAGCATCCGCCCTGAATGCCGAGCCAGCCGCTACCACTAGCGTGCCCCACTTCAATATTGCCACTCCCAAAGCATCCGATGCACAGGCTGCCAAAGGCAGTGACGAGCCGATTCATGAGTTGAAGACGCCTGCAGTGTTGGCACAAGAAGCAAAGGCCAAGTTGGATGAGCTGCTCAAAGGTGGCAGTCCCAAGCAAAAGCCGGCTGTCGGCAACGACCAGCCTCAATTGCCAACGCAGTCAGGGTTTTTCACTCCCACTGAAGCTATCAAAACTCCCCCAAATGACTCCCCCAAGAGCGTAACCAAGCAACAGCAAGTTATGGGTCCCTCAGATCTTATTGAATTGGTGAAAGCCTTAACCCAAAGGGAAGAAAAGGATAAGCCAAAAACTAAGGAGGCCGAACTCATCAAGCTGAACAACATGCCCGCTCCGGAGTCGTATAGGACTTGGAAGAATCATGTCAGGGATGAAGTGAAAAGCTGTTCAGATCGCCCGGATGAG